ACACAGAGTTATAGTGGTTCGATCAAATATGAATTACATCCACTCCCCGAAGACTCCCTCTTCAGGTATTGCACTATTACCATAAGTGTCTCTCCTTTTGCCCCCACAGTAAGACGGAAAAGCCTTCGCAAAACTCTTTTCCACCAATCTCCGGTGCGGAAGAGAACCGTCATCCTTTTACACCCTACAAGTGTAGGTAGAGAACCTTCATCCTTCTATACCCTCCAAGTGTAAGCAGAGTACCTTCAACTATTCACACTCTCCAAGTGTAGGTAGAGAACCTTCATTCTTTTATACCCTCCAAGTGTAGGCAGAGTACCTTTGGCTGTTCACACTCTCCAATTATAGGCATAGAAACTTCGACTGTTCACACTTTCCAAGTGTCGGCAGAGAATAGGATCTTCTCCAAGATCTTATTATGAGCAATCTAAAAAGACAAGAATAAGAGCTATGATGTACCGACACTTCTCCTCAAAGAGGCGTGTAGTGTCCGACACCGTGTCCGACACGACACTCCTCCGACACGTGTATCTTAATTATTTTATAAATTTTTTAAAATATAATTTCTTGTATTTTATGGGATTTAAAGTAAATTTCTTATTTCCTATCCATAACACAAAATCAACGTCCGCACTTAATTCTTAATCATCGAATATTCTCATTTTTATTTCTTTTTGGCAGTGAAGATATTTTCATCTCCTCTCTCTTTGACTAATAAATGGCATCGACACCTGACTCTCGACGCCTGAAATATTAATTGTTGTTTTTTGAAACTTACTAAAAAAAGCTAATGAAAATGCTCGGTACTGCTAGGTATCACTAGGTACATGCTCGGTATCGCTAGGTACCGCTTAGTACATGCTCGGTACCGCTAGGTACAAGCTCGGTACCTAGTTATCATGAAATTGATTTATTATTTCTTGTCATTTTTAACATAATGTCACCTTAATTTCTATATATTATATTAAAAAATTATTATGCCGTGTCCACGATGCACCCGTGTCCTATATTTTTAAAAAAGCCGTGTCCCGTGTCCGTGTCGTGTCATGTCCATGTCGACGTGTCCGTGTCAGTGCATCATAGAGTAAGAGTAATTATAAACAATTACAAAGATATTCTCATCTTTGAGTAATCATGTGAACTCTTTACACTCCACTTGCAAGAAATCTCTCTCAAACACTCTCTCACACTCTCTCTTTCAATTGCCCTTGAAAACTCACGAAGATAAGACTTAGAAGATTTTTTATGTCAGTTTAAAATGGACATTTCTATACAAAAGACTCAAAAAACCGTCTAGAAAACTGAATTTTTCAATTTTGAGCATACATGATCGTACAGTACGATCGTATTTCATACGTACGAACAATTCAAATACTGTTACGTATGAACATGTTATGAATTGGTATGAACTCATTTCGTACATGATCATCGTCTGGTATGAACCAAGTTCGTCCGGTATGAATAAAAATATTTTAAAGTTCGTCTGTACTAAACTTCAGGACAAAATGAACGAAAATAGACCCGAGACATTCATCCTGGTACAAAAATTAATTTCGTCCCATATGATCTTCATTCAAGGACAAAATAAAGACGTTCATCCCGGTACGAAAAAATTTTCATCCCGTACACTCTTTATTCGAGGACAAAATAGAGACGTTCGTCCTGGTACTAAAATAAATTTTGTCCCGTACGATCTTCATTCGAGAACAAACTAGAGATGTTCGTCCCAGTACAAAAATAAATTTTGTCCCGTATGATTTTCATTCGAGGATAAAACAGAGACATTCGTCTTGGTAAAAAATTAAATTTCATCCTGTGTGAACCATACTTAGAAAAATATTTTCCTTTCTATTTGTTCCACTGCTCATTGGAGAAATAACTGATCAGATAGTCTCGTACGAAGTCATATCGTACAATACAATCAACTTAAAATTATGACTTTAAAGAACTCTCCTCCGGTGTGTGTGTGTGTGCTCAGTTATTCAATTAGAATCATACTCTCTCAGACTCAACAAAATGAAAAAAAATACCTACTTCAATCACAATTAATTCTAAACTGATCTTTGATTTGAAGTCTTCAATAATTCGGAGTATGATTTTTCTAAAATGTTAGTACACACAAGAGCAAAATAATTCTTCCAAAATATATTACGATAAATAATAATCAAATCAATAATATTTGAAATCATCAATAATATACAAGTTGCAAGAAGATCAAACATACAAAACTAAGTAGCAACTATCTCAACATCATGCTCCAAATAAACAAAATGAAAATTTGGGCAAGTTTTATAGTTTTCTTTTAGATTTTTGTTTTTTTAAAATATAAGGATTTGAAACTCTAAAGGAATGACTATAAGAGATACTTGAGATAATGCTTCTATCAATTTATTCATTTAGCATGTCTATAATTAATATCTTTTGGGTAATAATATACTTTAAAGCATGATGATCCATATTAAGTATAAACTCCTTATGAAATAAATAATATCTCCAATGCTTAAAAGTTTGAATATTTTATAGAAGTCTTGCTCATATGTAGAATGATGTTGCCTAACATCATTCAATGTTTTATAGAAGAATATCATGGGAATGTTTTCCTGACTTAGCACCCCTCAAATCCAACACTTAGCATCATTCAACATTTTATGAAGTTTTAGGATACGTGAATAGGTCATAAGAACCTTAATATTATCCATAGATTTTTTAGTATTTGTGGTCAAAATAAATTCATCTCTTTTTAAAATATTAGTGATATGAGTCAATATAGTACTATAATTTCTATTAAATCTTCTAACATCTGTAAAAGATTTGGAGTTAGGTAGTTTATAATAGTTTTGATCTTTGATGCATCTACTTTTTTACCCTTCAGCAGATACAACAAGACCTATTAAGATAACTTATAGTTGGCAAAAGAAGTATTTCTTAATTTTTTTTTATTAAGCTTTGCTTCTTGCAGCTTCCAAAAACTAACCTCAAATGGTCTAAATAAGATTTTTTCATCAAGGTTGTAAATAAGTATGCTATCAAAATTCACCACACAAAAATATCCAATGAAAGGTTTAAAAACTGTGTTCATCATCCCATAAATGTGTTAGGAGAATTTAATACTCCAAAGGCATTTAAAAGACACATGGGGTTTTAAAAGTTACCTATCGTTTATAACTAAGCCATATTTTAATATGATGGTATCCACTTCTAAGGTATTTTGGAGAAAAAAATTGGATCAAATACTAAGATCTAGCATGTTATTCAATATAAGAATAGATAATATATATTTTTATTATGATCTTATTAGTGCCATCCTCTATAGGTGCCAAAAGGTTAGGATTAGTATAAGGACTTAAAATCTCCTAAATGAAGCCTTTTTCAAGAAGTTAATCTACTTGCCTATTTAATTCAACATTCTCTTTTGGGTTCATCTTATAATGTGGTAGATTTGGAATTTGGGAACCTAGAATTAGATCCGTGGCATAATGTGTATCTCTTAATAGATGTAACTCATATGTCTATTTGTTAGGAATGAAATCCCTATAATTATCTAAAATATATGAGAACATAGCAAGTATGTTGCACTCATCATCATCATGCGTGACTTCCTTTAATTGCTTGATGTAGAAGGAGGCAGGATAAGAAAACTCTTTGAATAAACTATTGAATTCCAATTGTTAAATCCAAAAATTAGAAGTTATAGTAACTTTCCGTAATGGGCGACATAACAATCAAATGGCACTTTACATTTTTTTAGTTTCTTTATGTTGAATCTTCGAATGGGATTTGTAAGGATTGGTAGGTGATTGCTTATCTACGGGCTTTATAGGGAATAATTCCTAGTATTTTCCTTATGCTTGATTACATACATGTTCTCATGAGTACAACGTATAAAATTTAAGTTATAAAGACAAAGTTTGCTTAGTAAAAGGTGTGATATATCTATAAGGACATTATACCATATATGATCTTCAAAACTACCTATCTTAATGGAACTACGTAGCTAAATGTAATGGTTACTAATGTGTGATTTACCCTACATACATGGAATTGATCAAGATGGGGTTCAAACTTAATTGGTTTTTGCTATAGTATCACCAAATATAATATTCATTTCATTACACCCATCAAGAACTAATTTACACTTCTATCTTTACAGATGACATGCATGATAAAGATATTTCTTTTGCTCCAATCCTCATCACTGGACACTCATTTAATCCTTCAAGATAAGTTGTCCATCATCATCTAATAGTAGATACCATCAATGATCTTCTAAGTGTTGTTATCATCCTCTTCCTCATCAACTTCGTCTAAAAATAAAATTTTTACCTTTCATGAATTTTACATGTGGTACTTGATATAACACTAAAAATAATCTAAGTATCGTATAATCGTTGTGGTAGATTCAGTGGTAATATTATTGGTTTGGACATTACATGATGAACGACAAAGTCTAACATCAGACATTAATTTGATATGCTGAGTTATGGTGATTGGATTTATATGTAAATGTGTCTTTATTATGCATTTTGAAGATTAAGGCAGAATGAAAGACATCTTCTAGTGTTTGCCGCCCTATACTTCAACTTCATTCTTCTAAGACCAATAATATATTTATTGGATAATTGCCAATCCTAATCTTTGTAATTGGTGCTAGATTAGTTCCTGAAAGGGGCTTATATTTTCAACTACCTATATGATTTATTTTCTTAGGATTGCCAATTGTTCATATAATTTTTTTTTTGATGATTTTCTAGGATAGTATTTGGCCCTAAGCATCAATTTTCTCACTCTAGTTTTCGTAAACTTTTTGACAAATAGGGCTAAGGAGTAAAGCAAATTTTTTATAAATGAAATTAGACATTAAAATAACTGACAGATAAACATTAGAACAGTACGTGGCTCATTGAGGAATCAGTGGAATAGATAGGCACTTGAAGCGGGGCGGAGGCGTAAACCGTTGAGTCACTTGCCAAACTCTAACACAATACAGCAGATACTTCTCCAGGCGCAAGTTTACTCCGGTCGAGGGTTACCAAAGTCGCCGATTTTATTTTCCGATTCCCCCTTTGCCGCAAAGGGCTAGGGAGTCAATTTCTCACCTCTCTATCTATCGTCACTCCTCTCATTTGCTATCCCGTCTCGGGCCGGTGAGGTATGGCGTCGTCTTCGCTTATGGCAGCAACTCCTCACCTCGGTTATGCAAGCCCGAGGACCGACGGTCACTGCTCATCCTTCTCTCGCACAAACCTCCTCATACCCCCGTCCTTTCCAGGTTGTCGTCCTGGCCGGCGGTACTTACATCACGAGCAACGGTAAGCTTTCCTAAACGACTTAGTTGGATCGCTCTTCTCTGAACTTCGCCCTTTCTGGAATTCGAATCAATATTAGCCTTTTTTTTATATGTACGAAACAATAAATTGAGGTGGTGGTGAGTCAATATAGCAAGGTTTTCATATATGAAGTTCTTGTGGGACACTTATAGACGGGGTTTTTCGCTTGTGGAGCTCCTCCTCTGTAAGTTTGAAACTGTAGTTTTGTTCTGCTTGGATAAAAGGAGTTAGGACCTGAAATCCTGGGGTATGCCTGTAGTTCGGAAATTGCCTGCTGCCTTGCTTTTTGCTGCCCATGCTTTTTTTTATATTTGGCTCAAATTTATTTGCCCTTTGCAAAATAAAACTGTTTTTACTCATTGAATCTTACGAGGTGGCTAGGATTTAGTTACAAATCTTGCGGTAATACATCTAAAGCAAAAGGATTATTTCATGTTTGAGCTAACAATAAATGTAAGTTTTAGGAGGTTTGATTGAAAAGAAAGATTCATATGTCCAGCTGAAATAGATGAGGTAAAGCTGATGATGAGGACTATGACAAATTATGCTATATGTAATATCATGTCTGGATATTAAGGAAAAAAATGCTGTATGCATAAAAAAAGTTAAATCAAATGAAAACTTAATCATTATTTTTAATTAATTCATAATTATCTATGTATATGTATATTCATTTGGGTTAGGTAGATCAAGTCGGCATATAATCTTCAATCATGTTCAACAAATTGCTTGGTTGTGAATTTATTCGGCACTCTCCCTAAGGCACTTAGCTTGGCTACTCATTCACAAATCTCGGCTACTCGTTCAGAGTACTCACAAAAGCCAATTAAGGGTTCTATTGGGTAGAACATGCCAAGTCATCTTGCCAAGAGAACTCATCAAGTGAACTTTCCCTTGGCTAAGTCGCTTGCTGTAAGTTCTTGTATACTGGACACTCAATCATATTTGCCTCTACATGAATAGTTATATAGAATCAATTTTACGCAATTTTCAAATTCTTCCCTTATGTATCTAATTTTTTACCATGTATGTTGTCCCTCACCTATAAATAGGGGGTTAAGGATTAGGCATGCACATGGAGTTATTTTGTACTTTTTTGTCAAAAATTCATCCTATTAAAAGTATATATTCTCCATCTATCTTTTTGTGACTCTCTCTTTTGGTGCTCTAAAGGTCAATCGGGTCTTAATCAATCACATAGAATCTCAAAATCGATCTCTTGCTCTCTTCCTCAGGCTTTGTGTCACTCTGCGAGTAATTGGGATCTAACAATCTGGATTGCACTTGATTGTTTATTAATTCACGAGCAGCTGACATGTACTTTTGATTGCTATATGGTCTTATGTAACATGTTTTTTAGACTTCATTATGATAGAACTATTAAACATTTATTCTACCTCTGAATTAATGGTTTTCCATGAAATATCTTTTGAATATTGTTTTTCCGCTGGGCTTTACTATTTTTTTGGTTATTAGCATATCTTTTTTTGAGCTTAGCCCTTTTATCATCGGAGCTTGATAACTTTTCTCGCCTTGACTCCTTATATTTACACTCATGACCTTGCATAGAGCTTTAGTGAGAAGTTTGAGTTAATGTATTTTTTTTTTTTGTAATTTACTTGTTATTTATCATCTGAAATTGAAGGTCTGGTGCCAACTTTGGTAGCCCCCTTTTTTTGTTCTATGCCTTATCTTTGCGAGCATGTTACCTGACATTTTTTTTACAAACAAAGTTAGAATTTCTTTATACTAAATTCTAATGTCAACTGTTAACATACATGTGATTTCATCTCCCTTGTAAAAGGTTTGCAGTGTGAACTATGTGTGTGCTCATAAAATTGTTTACTCTGTAGAACTTTGTTAGGAGCCATTTGATTGGTTTTACAATAGGTGCAATCATAGTATTTTGCTGCCAACTTTTGGACAGTTTTGCAAGCAAGGAAAAAAATGGTAGTACTTCTCCATCAACCCTAATGTTTCCAGCATCATATTTTTTATTTCCAACATTTTGTAAAGTTAATATTTCATTTTATTTTATTTTTCTTGTCATAGTCTTTCTAGATGATTGAATACTGAACTTTTTTCCCATATATTTGTTGTTCTGAATTCTTATGCTATGTATGCTGAACACAAAAACCGATAGGGATAAATGATTTAACTTTCTAGCTTTTTCATCCCTGTAGGTGCCTACATTTTGGTTTGAAGGAGACATCAGAAGGCAAATCACGATTAGGAAGCACAAGGAAATCACACATTCACAGGTTTAATGAAATAGATGTATCCAGTATTTCTTCAAGGAAGCTATGCTGCCTAGCTCGCTTTCGTAGCCGCTATAAGCTTGTGGGTCATATTAAAATACACACTTTGGGTGACTTTATTGACAAATCAACTTTTCCTATTGCAAAGCATTCAGTTTTTAGCAATGTAAGTTTAAACTTTTATTACCCCAATGCGTTTAATTTTCAACAATGAGGTGATCCTTTTAGAAATGACTAAGGCTTAATTTGTTCTGCTTATTTATTGCTGAACTTTTTGAAGCACAATTTTGATTTGTTATTAAAAAACTGCTTTAAAAGTTCTAATTAAACAGATACTTTCTCTATTACTTTATTAGCTTACAGATTGATTTTTAAAGCAATTTGTATTTTAACGCAAGAGACTGAGAGTATGATGATTTTATTTCATACAAATACATCAAAAGCGTATAATTATCACAGCTGTACCAAACAAAGCCCAATTGATGCTGCCATTATTTTGGGCACCCTTAGTCAAACATGGTACACTGCCTTCATATGTAATTCTCTTAGTTTGGTTGAATTATTTACTTCTTTCATTTTATCTTCTTATCCTTAATCACCAGGAAGCTCATAATAAAACCTTTCCTTTTTGTTCATTTCAATTATAATGGCCTTTTGTGATATTTCATGGTGTGACTTTGTTAACAACCAAAACAAAACAGTCTCTATTTATTCACATTAATATCCTATTGGCCTATTATGCCTTTACTTAGTTTAGAAACTGAATGATATATGGATAATGCCCATCATGAATTTAATGTTTTCAGGTGAAACCAGCACGTATTCGTTGTGCATCTTTAGGCCCTGATGAACCCCATGTTGCCAGCACATCATTTTCTGAGACAATCCTTGAGAAACAAGGTTTGGGCTTTTGGGGTCCTGAAGCTGAGAAGGAAGAACTTGAAAGTTTATTTAGCTCGCCACTTCCTTCACATCCAAAGCTCCACAGAGGGCAGCTAAAAAATGGTTTACGCTACCTCATTCTGCCTAATAAGGTCCCTGCAAACAGGTATTAGAAATAGCTCTGGTAAAGATTCCTAGATTCATTGATTGTGATTTTGCTATCAGGGTATATAAAAGGCCCAACAGATTGTGCGGCCAATATATTATGTCTTCTTTACATCTGAATATATTTGTGATAGGCATGTGAATCTGATGTTCCTTTAAATGTGTTTAATGGATTGCTTGGATGATGCCTTTTCTATCATTCTAATTTATTGTTATTCTTATTCTTTATTTAGTTTAGTTTTTTTTTTTGGATAAAGCTATTGTAACCATACTAGATAATCAGTATAATGCCATTTTTTTTTCGTAAACTAATATAGGGAGAAGAGAACGAAATGTTGTTTGAAGCTGCATAGTTCATGCTTGGATAAATAAATTATGTGATGTTTAATATTACTTTGTTGAATGAGTGGCTTACTTTTGTTCCCATATAATGTTATATCAGGTACTATTGTGATACTGTGAACATGTTTTCATTGCACTTATTTTCCTTGTTATAACATTTTGTGTACATCTTGTTTTACACACACTAAGTATATCATGAGCTATGCTTAGTGGTGGTAGTCTACACATAAGCTTGCGTTTTTGATTGGGATCTTGTATTGAGCTGAATCTAATGTGGGATGAAATGGATAATTTCTATTAAGAGGATTATGATAGAATTTTTGGGAAAGTTAAGAAATAGATTGCACACAAAAAAAGAAACTTGATGGTTGAGTGAGGAGGTGCAAAAAATTATAAATAGAAAGAACTGCACTTTTACAGTGCAAGAAAAATTTAGTACTATTGAAACTTTTAGTGATTATAAGAAAGGTAGAAGTATTGCAAACAATGTAGTGAGCAAATCAAAGACTACAATATTTGATGATTATATAATAGACTTGTGAGTAAGGAAATGTGAAATGCAAATATATAGAATATCTAAGTTAATAGATAAGAGATCTAAAAAGTATGATCAAATTAGATGCATTAGAAGTTAAATTAAGAGTTAATTATAATATGTTTACATCAAATATTCTCTCTATTGGTTATAGAGCTGCTTTAAGGATATTCAAAGTGAAGTGCTTCGCATGTGCTTTTTGCCAATTATATAGTTCTAATTGGTTAATTATTTATTGAAATAAATGAAAAGTTATAATAATGGAGAAATTATTTAGAAAATAGAGGACTTAGAATTAGTAGAGCAAATATTGAGTATATGAAATATAATTGTAGTGGGTGTAATATTAATATTTATTAAAAGATTAGGTGAAACTTAGGTGTGATCTAATTAAGTGTCTTGGATCTATTATGCAGAATAATTGAGTTAAACATAAGTATATAACTTTAAGATTTTATGATGCATGGATAAAATGTAAAAATATCTTAGAAGTATTACTTGATAAGAGAATATTTTAGAAAATTAGAGGTAAAATTTGCAAAACTGTAATAAGGTTAACGATCGTTGTTGTTGTTGTATGTTTCTAGCATAGGTTACGACGTCATACTAATGTTTCTCAAAATCAAATTGGATTCATGCCGGTTATGTCTACTATGGAAGCTATACAGTTATTGAGAGGTTTGATGTAAAAGTATAGAGAGAATGAGGAGAATTTACATATGATATTTATTGATTTAGAGAAAGTATATGATAAAGTTCCGAGAGAAGTGCTATGGAGAGTTCTAGAAAAGAAAGGAGTTAGTAATATTTATATTCAAGTCATTAAGGATATGTATGCATGAGCTGTTACTTGTTTTCAAACACAAGGTGATTTGACCAAGTATTTTCCTATTTTAATTGGATTACATTAAGGATTGGCCTAAAGCTCATATCTTTTTTGCTTTAGTCATGGATGTTCTCACTAGACATTTACAAGAGATTGTACCCAAGTGTATGCTTTTTGATGATGATATTCTTCTTGTTGATAAGACTGAAGAGGGAGTTGAATGTAAACTTGAATTATGGTGGTGAAACTTAGAGTCTAAAGGTTTTGGTTTGAGCAGATTTAAAATAAAAAATGTGGAGTGTAATTTTAGTAGTAATAGATCTAATGGGGGGATTATGACTTTGGACAATCAAGTCATTAATAAAAGTACACGTTTTAGATATCTTGGGTCTATTATTCATAGTGATGGTGAAATAGATTGGGGATATTATTAATAGAATTCAAGTTGGATGGTTGAAGTTAAGGAATGCATAGAGCTTGTTGTGTAATACAGGTAGACCTAAAAAAACGAGCATGCACATGAAAAGGTTGGAGTAAGCTCTAATGGAAGATAAGATTAGAGGGAATCGCCTTAGATGGTTTGGTCACATAAAATGGTGGCCTTTCGATGACCTGGTTAGGATATTAGATATATAAGATTTGACTTATGTTAAAAAGGTAGAGTTAGACATAAAAAACTTGGTTAGAAAATATTAGAAATGACATTTTTTTATTAGGATTAAATGAGAATTTGACTCCTAAAATAACACAATGAAGAAAAAGAATTCATGTAACCGACCCCATGTAGTGGGATAACGGCTTGATGTTATTATTATTTTTGTAATAAGGTTAACAATGTTGTATGGATTCAAGTGTTGTTGTTGACATATATTTTTACATTGAGCCTGATTCAGCCTGGATCGAGCCATTTCGAGCTCGGCTGGGCTCGATTGTGCTCGATCAACTTGATTGACCACCATCAAAGTAAAATTAACTCAAATTGGATGCTAATTTAATCAAATTAAAGTCAAATTGATCGAACTGATCCTACTTCGGTCCAAATCGAACCCAGTTGAGCCTCGTCAATCCAAATTCGACGCAAATCGGCGCCTATTCGAGTCAAATTTTGCGAAATTGGCTCGATTGGACCTAGTTGAACCCAAACCAATCCAAATCAGTTTGAGTTGAGTCCGATTTGGGCTCTATTCTAGCCCAATTTATCAAATCTAAGTTCATTTGACCTTTCTAAATCAGGAAACCTAATCCGACGGTCCAAATTGAACTGATATCTGCTTTTCCGTCATTTCCTTCAGATTTGCGTGGCTATAATAGAAATTTTGAGCACAAAAGATCGCATTGAGCAGCGAGATCACTCGTTTTGCTTTTATATAGAGTGCGAGACAGAGAAGTCGTTTGAACCTTATCTGCTTGTGTGCGATCCTCTCAATCGAAGAGGAATTGAGAGAAAGAGAGGCCGAAACCCCTATGGCGTGCTTTTGTTCGTCCAATAGATTGAAAGCTGACGCCTGTTTGCTGCATCTGATCCAAGGGAGTGGCTTCTGCTTGCGTGCGTCCAGGCCGAGCCGAAGTATCCCTTCATGCATCCAAATTAAGGGAGTTCGGAGAGGGAGTGCTTGGCTCTGACATTCGCTCTTGCTTGCGGGTTTTCTTGGTCGAGAGAGAGAGAGAGAGAGAGAGAGAGAGAGAGAGAGAGAGAGAGAGAGAGAGAGAGAGAGGGATTCCTGCAAGTGGCTAGGTCTTGTGTGTGTGCCTCTTTCGGCCAAGTAGAGCTTGAGGAGATCGGAAGACACCAATGTTCTTCATGCATTGTGCTATGGATTTCTCTAACATCCTAAATTCATGTTGCGAGCTTTGAAAACCTAGAACTAAATTCTACGTTTCCCTTTTCCCTTTTTGTTGGAACACAAAAACAACAAATGATTTCCTTTCTTGTTGCCTTCTAAGCTCACATGGAGGTTTCACAAATAACCTTTAAAGAGTCCAAAGAAAGCACTAGTAAATCATAGGGCCAAAAATCCTTGGTTCATTCTACTATCTTGTTTGTTGAAACATAAAATCAACAAATGATCATCACCCCTTTCTCCTTGCATGATAGTTTGAAGTCCTCCAAAACTTCAACAACGTTATTGCATGGATTTTAGAGCATCGAGCTAAATCCTAAGCTTTTTGCTTCTTTTTTTGAGTCACAAAATAAAAAAAAATGAATATCCCTTCTCTCTCATGTATTGTTCAAAACCTCCAAAGGTTCCAAACAACATCATCACATGAATCTTTGGATTTTAGAAATAAATCCTAATTCATCTTTCCTTTGTTTTGTTGATACACAAAATCAACAAATATCCATCCACACCTCTTATGCACGAATAATTTGGAGCATCTCAATGCTTCGAGTACTTCATTGCATGATCAATCTCTCCTCCTTCCATTATCCTTACTCAAATTTGGCGAATATTCACCTCTCTTTGAACACCAATTGTTCAAGGAAATTCCTCCACTTGTAACATCCAAGTTGCAATTTACCACTCTATTTTTGCAACTCAAAAGTTGCAGGAAATCTCTCATTCTCCAAACCCAAACTAGGAGAGTATACATCCCTTTCTTTGAACACCAAATGTTCAAAGAACTTCCTCCAAGTTGCATCTTCTACCTTATTTCCTATAAGCCAGGATTGTAGGAAACCACCAAATCATCATTCATTTGCATAACACCGAATATGGAAAATGAATGATTTTTTTGAATGTCAATTTTTCAAAGGATACTCATGAATTTGCAACTCATAAGTTGTATTTTCTCCTCCTGTCACCTCTCCGACCCAAGTTGGATGGAAGAATTTTCCTCTTTGAACAATCAAAAGTTCAAAGACTCTTCTCCAATGTGCAACATGTAAATTACATGTTTCTCATATTTACCTAACCGAACTAGGTAAATAATCAACTTTCATTGAAGAGAAAATTCAATGATTCATTCTTAATTTGAATACCTCAAAGTTGCATACTGCACGTCTCTCTCTTACAACTCAAAAATTGTAGGAGATCTTTTCATTTGCTTAACCCAAGTTACGTGAGTGAACATCTTTCTTTGAACATCCAAAAGTTTAAGGAAAACTCCTTGTGATTTGTAATCTATATTTACATCTCACCTTTATATTTACTTAATCCAAATTAGGTAGATGATCATGTATCATTGAATGCAAAATCCAATAAATTCTTCTTGACTTATAGTTTCAAAACTATGGGTCGTTTATCTTTTCTATGACACAAAAAGTCCTAGAAAACTCTCTAACCCCTTAGCCTTAAAGTTGTGAGTTTTATTCCATTTCCCTTAGCTTATCAAACTATAGGAATTCCTCCTAACTTTAGTCTTCCTAACTTTAGTCTAAAGACTAAGTGTTAGTTCATTTCTCTTTTTAATCAAAAGTTAAAGAGAATTTCACTAACCTTTAGCCCTAAAGCTATAGGTTCGATTACATTTCCCTTAGTTCTAGAGCTAAAAGGAATATCTCTTCCCTTAACCTCAAAGTTATGAGTGAATTCACATACAACAAATTCTCTTGTTGGGTCAAAATCAACTCATATTCCTATACAAAACATAGGAATATTAATCTTATTTCTCCTTTATACTCCTAACCCAAGCTAGGTGAATGAGTTCTTTTCTTCGGACATCTAAATTTCCAAAGAATTCTTGATCTGTAGCTTCAAAGCTACAAATTTTCCTCACTTCCATGGACTCCAAAAGTCTAAGGAAACCTTCTAATCTTTGCCTAAAAGCTATAGGTATAGTCTCTTCCCCCTCTGACCTCTAGGTTGTAGGACATTTCTCCCCTCCTTAGCTCCAAAAGCTAAGGAGAATCATCCAACATTTAGTCCAAAAGCTACATGTTAGACTACTCTCTCTTAGATCTAAACTCTAAGTAAACTTTTTCATTTAATATAACAAATGATCTCTCCTTATGATAACTAAAACTTAACCATTAGATGTCCCTTATGAGTTTTCTATCTGTTAAAGTTTATCTTATACTATTAGATGGATTTCACAGTCCTTAGTGCAACCCTTAGACGTGTTCTCCTTAAACTATTAGGTGAACATTCATCTCTTATCTAAATACTAAGAAAACTCTTAAAAATTCTTAAAAAAATCACTTAGGTTTTCTTTGATATATTGATCAATCATCCCACCCTAAAAGGTGGGATGCTTGTATCATTATATCTTAGGACTCTATATAAGTAGCATATTTGTCTAAAAATAAACAGTGACTTTTTTATGGGTCCATAACCCTCATAAATATGAAATATTTAAAAATCAAATAAAATTTTTAAGTCACAAATAACTTAAAGAGAAATAACCCTTGGATTAACTTTAAACACCTCTAATCCTCAATAAAATAAAAAATATTTTAGTGTGATATGGCACACAAACCACACACACTTAGGTGCACATCCCCTAGGCATATTAGGATTAATATTTTTCTTTTTCTGCGCATTTATTTGATGTTTTAGTGTGATGAATATTGGATTATATGTTGTGGGCATTTATTCTTAAGTGGTTAACATATGTATATACACCTATGTTTTTCTTGTAGATGACCATGTCTAAGAGGGGGGATCAATAAATAATAAATAAAATGCTTGCTAATAGGTGTTGCTTAAAACCCTCATATGGAGGCATGACCAATAGGGTAGAAGCAAGGGCTTGACACTTCAAGTCATAGGCCATTCTGGATGTATTTTTATGATATATATGTATGCTCTTAATCCTTTATTTTATAGGTTTGAGTTTTTTCTTTTTCCCAAATGTATTTGATTTGACTTACGATGTATGTTTTAACTTGTGAGGTTTAGTTAAAGGAGTGGCGGATCAAGATGATGTACCTGCTAAAGGTGAAGCCCAAGACTTGCTTAGAAGCCAGAGCTTTAAACCCCCAAAAGTTAAATATGTAAATAAACATTATATGGGTTGTATAATAACGGACAACTCAGCTGTCAAATTTAGATATAATAATTTGTACTCTATAATTTACATTCCTTTTGGTTGATTATACATATATGCAAGCATGTGTTGATTGTTTACCTAGTTGTGTAATAGAAAAACATGTTTTGTTTGGTTTCTTCTTTGCTTTTGCTTAAGGGTGGTCTGAACTTTTGATGCGGTTGACTCTTAGGACAAAATTAAGATTTATACTCATTAAAATATAAACAACATAAAATCAAACTTAGGTTCCATATTTTCTAAATATAAAAAAAATTCCATGGTTCCCTTCAAGGAGACAAGTTTTCAAAAATTGAAAATGATAATTCATAGCTCAACGAGTCTCATATAGAAAAGCCTTCACTTAAGCACTACATAACAAAATCTGCATTTTTGTGAGTCAGCATTCTGCATACCCTTCATGGTCAAGTATCTTGGCTTCAAAGCCAAGTTATAAGCTCTTTTTTTAAATGAAAAACAACCTTTATACTTTTCATATGCATTGAGATCAGAATTCATGGGTTTAAAAGCGATTATGTGAGTTAGCTAGTAATTCTTTTCAGACAAAGTAATAAATCCAAAGGACGGGTTGGCTATGCCTCATGAGATGTGTAGTTTGTAAGTCTCTTGCACTCCGTTAAACTTATGTTCGAGACACTACCCCTCATTAGTCCTCACCTTAGTTCTAGGGTCTGAGACAGATGTTGATTTTAATGAGGATTTTTAAAGTAGACCCAAATACTTAGGATAAGGCTAATTACAATGATGATGCCTTGAGTGATGCAGATACCATAAATAATGATCCACTCTTTTGGAATGTTAGTCTTGAACTCCTGGTTATAGTAATCTAACGATCCATGTTATATTTGAAATGTTCTTCTCTATCTCTGTTCTTCAAGACATTATGAAATGCAAACATTATAATTTGAAATCCCTAACTTTTTTGTTTATTTTAATTAAGGTTTGAGGCACATATGGAAGTTCATGTTGGATCAATTGATGAAGAAGATGATGAGCAGGGAATTGCCCATATGATTGAACATGTTGCATTTCTTGGGAGTAAAAAACGAGAAAAACTTCTTGGAACTGGAGCAAGGTCTAATGCATATACAGATTTCCATCACACCGTGTTTCATATCCATTCCCCGACTACCTCAAAGGTTGGTCAAATTGTTGGTTCTAGTCTTGTTATGCTCGATCCTTTGTGAGATTAGCTCAAGGCAGTTGATTCAATTAAATTAGCTTCTCTTTGGTCGAGCTATGCCATCATTTATACTCATAGCATCCTTATCATGTAAACGAAGAAAAGCCTTCCTACTTATGCTTGGTCTTAAGGACAAAGCATCTTTTTTTTTTTTCTCCAATGAGAGTAGCTGAAGGACTTATTTTTAATTAAATTGGCTTCTGTTCAGAGAAAACTATACCATAATTTGTACTATTGTTAGCATCTTTATCATATACAATGATTTTTTTTTTTAAAAGATAATACTGGTATGGTGAATGCTATCAACTATCTTCATCTAAATGAAGACAAGCCTTCCTAATTTTAGATGTGCACATGCCCACACAACTCGGGAGAAGAATAGCATAAGAGAGAGAGTCGAGAAGAATGGTTGTTAGATTGGAGAGCTGAGGCATTTGTTGGATTTGGAATTGACATGATCTACTTAATGCATCAGTATATACATATTCCATCCTTCACTTATTTTTGCTACAACAAAATAATTAGTTTATTAGCTTAGGTTCTCTAGTTCTATTTTGTATTTGATTTTAAAATTGCACTCCTGTGGAACCATCACTCTTTTTACCTGGTATAATTTTATCAATGGCGGATGATAGCAAAAGCAAGAAATTGTGTGGTCGAAAGGGTTGGTTGACAGACCAACTTTTCAATTACTTCGTAGTTAGTAGGAAAATATAGAGTGCCTATGTTCCCATCTTTTGAGAAGTACTTTGTGTTGTTCCAGTTTTGTGGTCCTTCCGAAATGGAAAGCCTTAAAGTCACGGTAAAACATTCAGCCTATCTAAATTTGTGAGTTCTTCAAGTTGTTCAGATTAGGCTATAGTGAACCTTTGCTAACACAATTCTTATGTTTTCCCCTTTAAATCTAGTTACTTTGTATGTATTGTTTGACTTACATTTCATGCTATTTCAGGACTCAGATGGGGATTTACTTCCATTTGTGTTGGATGCTCTAAATGAGGTAACCTTTTTTTGTTTGTAGGTTTTTTTCAGCACCATTTATATGAATTTTAACTATTCTATGAAACAGGAATTTTATCCTTGTTTGAACAACTGGGCTTTATTAGAATCAATTAGCACCAGTTGGAAGATATCTTTTGGAACAAATGTTGTAACATCTGAGTGTGTTTTTGAGTTTCTTTTGGGTCGTATGAATGCTTAAGTTATTTAAGATAAATTCCTGTTATAGTCTAGCATCCATGGCACGTTAAGGATAATGTAAGTAGTTTGTTGGTGCTTGGTGTTTGACAACTTACGGGAGACAATTTTGGAGATGTTGTGCTTGTAGCTTGCTATCCTATTTTGTTTGTAGGGCAATTACATGTTACCTATGAAATCTTCCATGTTTACAAAACCTATTATCCAACTATTTTTTTACAATATCTCCACCCAAATCTTGAAGAGAGAACAAAAATGCTAACTTTTGTTCACATTAGTTTATTAAATTCTTAATGAATTTTTCGTATCACGAACATATACATAGCCTTATTAGTTCATTTTATACACTTTGGTTACAGTTTTGTAAATAAGGAATGTTTGATGATACACATGTAAATGTCCCTTTATTTTTAGTACAAAATTATTGCTGCTTCCAAGAAAAAACAGCATGGTAGCAAGTATTAATTACGGCTGATGAAACGCACAGAATTGCAAATTACCTCATCTATTTTGTGATAATTTTGAATCTGTGTATGTTGTATATTGTGTTTATTCAAACATATTATTTGGTTGTTATGTGTCATTGGCCACTGTCGTTGGATTACAGTAGGCGTTTATGTTTTATCACCATTTTTATCAGATTTGGATACTCAACAGGATGTCGCCTTGTTGCATTCATATATGCAGAAATGATTTGCGAAATCTAACTCTGTACTGTTAGACATGGGCAATTTTTTTATGTATTTCTTATTTTCCTTTTTCAATAAAGAGAAGTTATGGCTCATTATGCATGCGTCTTTTGTTTGTGACATCATTTTGTGTTTTAAACATCCATAACTTTCTGTGGATATTTAGCTGCTGCTGCTTTATTTTCTTGTTGGTTCATTCAAACATATGATTTGATTGCTATGTGTCATTGTGTACTCTTGTTTAACTACAATTGGCTTTCTAATTTTATCCGTTAGTGATTGCCAACTCTATTCTGTTTGGATGATCTAGTGTTTATGTTTTCTTAGTCATTCATGTATTCATGTAACTTTCTATCATCTGAAAATTCTTGTTTATATAATGATATGATATCAGGCATGTATGATTTTTTTATGTGCTTCTTCATTTCCTTTATAAAAAATAACTGCAGCATTCTATGAACGTTAAGTTGTTTCTATTTTCACTATGTGTGCTTAGGTTTGTTTTGCCATTGCTGGCTGGCATGGTCATTCTTTTGATATCTGTCTGTGGTTTCTCTAGTCGAATTGCATTTGTGTGTATGTATGGATATGCCTACATGTAAGCATGTATATTGTTTTTTGTCATGTGTGATGAAATTATGTTACAAAAGATGCTTATGCTTGCAGATAGCTTTCTATCCCAAGTTTCTTCCATCTCGTGTTGAAAAGGAGAGAAGAGCTATCCTCTCTGAATTACAGATGATGAACACGATAGAATATCGCGTTGACTGCCAGGTAAGAAGAGCAAAAGTAGATGATTGTATTCGGTGCAATACAAGCTGCCATGATCTTTTGTATTGTAATTTGTAAGTCCCTAATTTATTTCTATACTTCAACCAACAGTTGTTACAACATCTGCATTCTGAAAACAAACTGAGTAAAAGATTTCCTATTGGATTGGAAGAACAGATTAAACAATGGGATACAGAAAAAATACGTAGATTCCATGAGCGCTGGTACTTTCCTGCAAATGCCACTTTATATTTAGTTGGGGACATTGATGACATTCACAAGGCAGTTTACCAAATTGAAGTATGTTGACTTCAAGATTCTGCAGTTTTTTTAATTTTTGAAAATTCACTTCTGCCAATTTATTCTACTTGTTTTCTAATGTTTGTGTTATGTAGGCTGTCTTTGGCCGGGCACTAGAGGAAAAAGAAGCACCTCCAGTTCATTCTACCTCCGCATTTGGGGCAATGGCAAATTTTCTTGTTCCTAAGTTGCCAAGTGGACTTTCTGGTAGTCTCTCTCATGAAAGAGCTGCTTCGTTAGATCAATCAAAGCTTATAAGGAAAGAAAGGCATGCAGTTCGACCACCTGTTCAACATATATGGTCTCTTCCTGAATCTGGTCAATTTGCTAAGCGTCCACAAGTATTCCAGCATGAATTAATTCAAAATTTCTCAATCAACATGTTTTGTAAGGTATCTTCGTTTATATTTTAGCATCAACTTTTCCACTAACAAAATAATATTTAATCCTTTTATGGAGTTAGATATTTTGACTGTATGTGACGGCTGATTTGACATAGCCTAGTTCTATGTTTTTTTCGAGCACTATAGTAAATAGGCATGATTAGAAGAGTTTCATTATGACAGGGAACAGATTGCCAGATATATTGGTGGTTATTGTTTAACATATTAACAATTTTGCCAATGAAGAAAGCACAAATTTTTTTCTGATTTGAGGCACAACTGCAACGCAATCTGCATTTGCTTCACTCTAATATCTAAAACAGATACAAGAATTCAAACTATTTAAAACCTTCATCTAGTAGCTTTGTGCGAACTATTTAGGATTGATTTGATGAATTTTACGTCAAATTTCTTCTTGTTTGTTACGTTATATGATATCTACAAGTCGTGTGGCACATTTTGGCAGTAGATTGAAAACCTGTCTATTGCAGTTTTCTTTTCCAAGATAGTTTAGTCTCTCAACAAAGACAGAAGGCTTTCGTTAGCACATATTAGAAGTATCCGTTTCCCAATCAACATCACCTATATTGCTTTTCATCCTACAAAACTTCAATGATTCTTGTGGAACTGAGGTTTTAGAAAACATTGAGCCACAATCCATGTAGACAAGCTATAAGCTCATTCTCGCTTGAAGATGAACAAAACTCATTTTTACCTTATATTGGGATGGATGATTGAATGGAAATACCCATGTTAGTAGTGTCACATAAAATGCTAAATCTATTCTTGACAAATTTTGATGCACAACTCCTACCCACTATTTTTTTTTTCTGTTCATTTTTCCTATGTTATCTATCAGTTTATTGAACATTGTTTTATTTTTACGGCAGAATTATTGTAATTTTCTCATTTTGTCACACTCAGTTTGTCTGCTAGTGATCTCTTGGTTGCCCAACATGGGATCCATTTGTGATAGCCGTCCTAATTTTATCTTTATAAATCCAATGTTACGTCTCTATGAATTTCCTTATTATATTGTAGTCCTAAAGCTTCTCCTTTTTAATATATGAAGTCATATAATACACCCTTGTGGGGTCAGGAGATCTATTATTCATTATGTAAGTAGGAATTAAGAGGAATTAATTAGGAAAGATTTATTTAGAGAAAGAGAGCTGATTTAATTGGGATGGAATTAGGAAATGTTTATTTATGGAAAAAAAGACTAATTTGATGGAAAGGGAATTAGGGAAGGTTTATTTAGAGAAAAATGGCTAATTTGATTGGGAGATTTATGAAATGTTTATTTAAGGAAAGATGACTGATTTGAATTCATATTTGGGAGGTAAGTAGGAAGGTTTATATTGAGGTTAATTTGGTTGTTTTGTTTTGATTATGTGATTGTGTTTGCTGTAGTTTTTCTTTGGTATTGTTCCTAGTGGCGTCTAGGGTTTGTGGGAGAGCCGATCTACATCTAGAATAGTAGATCAATTGTATCTTTTATTATTTGTTGAAGAGATAATAAAAAATCAGCCCTAATATTTGGTTCATGCATTTTCTTCTTATATACTTGCTGTTTTACTTTCAAGATGCATCAAATTGGTATCAAAGTGAGATTTTGGAGAGATAATAGTAAAGAAGGTGGATGCGTTGAAAGGTGAAGTGGAGCAAATCAAATTCGAGATGGAGATGTTCTCAACTATTGAAGGAAGGTTTTTAGCCATGGAGAATTAGATGGATAGCCAATTTGGAGGGTTGTAGGAGATGATGAGGAAGCTTATGGAGATGCAATTCAAAACTCCACTGGTGATTTCGATTGCTAACCCCAACTAAGATTTGACCATGATTCCCTTGGCTGAATCTAAGGGAAAGGAGATCGGACAAGAAGAGTTTGGCGAGGAGAGTTTCTTTCATCATGATCCACCTCATATGACTTTGATAAGGGGTGGATTAGGATTTTTGAATGGAAAGCAACAAGGAGGGAATTTTGTGGTGGAGGTGGTAGGATGGCCGACCACTAAGGGAGGCATTTCAAGTAGGGGTAATGGATGATCGAAGATAGTGGGGGTTGAGCTGAGCCATGGGGATGAGTTCATGCAAGGGGAGAGAAGAAAGGTGTGTTTCTCACCCTTGATACATGGTGGGAATTGTTGGAGGGAAAGGAAGTTGAAGTGGAGATGTCCGGGTAAGGAAATTGAAAATACAGATATTTGAAGAGGATGATGCCTATGGGTGGGTATACTAGGTGGAGTGGTATTTCATGGTGAATGAGTTAAATGAAGGGGAGAAACTTATGGCAACATAGTTATGTCTGAAGGGGAAAGCCTTAGCTTGGTTCTAGTGGAGGAAGGCTAGATATCAGATGCACTTTTTGTTGGAACATTTTTGAGCAATTTAGGAAGGAGACCTGCATGAGCAATTCTTTTCCTGGACTTAGGAAGGGACCGTAATGAATTTTATGGAGAGATTTGAGTTGCTATCAGGATGGTTGAGGGGGATTTTAGAGGTAGTGTTGGATGTAAATTTCATGAAGGGTCTAAAGCCCGACATATGGGTAGACCTCTAATTGTTGAGGTCGAAGGGGTTGAGAGAGATGATGGAGCTAGCTCAAATAATAGAAGACCAGAGATAGACGGAGAGGATCAGTAGGAACGGAGACATGGGAGGCTCTTATAGAGTGCCTCGACTTCCTTGGCACCGAGGACCCAGTCGGTGTCATTTCAGCTGGAGGCACCAAGGGAGAAGAGTGGGGGAGTTCGCCCTAGGGCCTACTTCAAGCGCCTCATAGAGGCAGAGATGTTTGATAAGAGAGCAAAGGTTGTGTACTTCCAATGTGATGAGAAGCACATATTTGGCCATCGGCACAAGAACCGCACACTCGAGGTCCTTATTGTTTGTGATAAGGAGGATACTGACAACGAGGAGTTTGAAGAGAAAGTAGAAGTGGGAGGAGAGCATCTATACCTTGATATGGCAGATGTGTTCCTTAACTCAGTGGTGAGATTTATGCCAAATCACTCCATGAAAGTGAGAGGAGAGATCTGAGAGTGGTAGGGTTGCAAATGAACCGAGCATTTGACAAGCTACTCGCGGTTCAGCGCGATTGTAGCTCGTTCTTGATCGTTTGTTTAAATAGTCAAATAAATTTGAACAATTTTTTAAATACTTGTCTTTTAAAAAAACATGAATAGCTTTATATTCGGCTTGTTTGTGTTCATAAATAATATTAATTAAAGCTCGTGAACAAGCTTGATAAGAAACTCTTTAAGAAGCTTGATTAAATCATTATTTTATATATTTTCACCAAAACAATTAATTTTATTATGATCAATTAGTCTTATTATATAAAAAATTAATTACATTTTTATGTTATATTATTTTATTATAACGAATTTGTTCATAAACAAGAGGTATTTATTCATTTTTGCAATATCTTTTGTTTAAAGTGTTCATGAACAAGCTTGTTTATAAGAATAATTTTATGAGCTCGTTCATGAACGAGTTCATTTGGTAGATCGAAATCACTCCCTATATATGTTCGCGAACGGCTCTAGGTGATTGTTTTTTAGTAAGATCGATATGACTCATTTGTTTAAAGCTTGATAAGCATAAACAAATCAAATTTAAACCAAACATAATCCAAACATGAATATCTTTCCTTTTAAATGAACCAAGCTTAACATAAATAAAAAAAGCTTGAAATCGAGCTCAAACCAAGCTTGAACAAGCTAATAATAAACAAGCTTAAATATGAATAAGCACCTACTCGGCTTGACTCAGTTTAACCCTAGGGAGTGACCAGTGGTGGTCTTGGTGTATAGCGGGGCTACTCATAATTTCATCTTAAATCGGCTCGTGGACCAGTTGGGATTGAAGTTGGTGGATACATGGAGCTTCAGAGTCATGATGGGGACAAGGAAGGTGGAGAGGAGTAAGGGGATCTGTAGGAGGTTAAAGTTGACTTTCCAGGGCATACAAATAGTGGAGGATTTTGTTTCCTTTAGATTTGAGGCACACTGATGTGAACTTATGGATGAAGTGATTACAAACAATTGGGGAGATGAGTGTAGACTAAAAATCTTTGACTATGGAGATCCAGGTGGAGGGGAAGAGGGTGGTACTGTGAGGAGATGCCATCCTATGCGAAACTATGGTTTCACTCAAAACCATGGTCAAGGCGATACAGGGAGTAGGCTGTTTACTTGGTGGAGTTGTAGAGCCTAGAGGAGATCCGAGAATCAGAGCCGGTTAAGGTCCTTGACTTTACACGTTAGCTTCTGTAGTAGTTTCATGTGGTTTTTCAGCATCCTAGCAGATTATCACCACTCAGGGGCACGAGCACGTCATTACCTTGAAAGAGGGAGCTTCTTCTATCAGTGTTTGACTGTACTTCTATTCGTAGATTTAGAAGGATGAGAGGAGAGGCTCATTATAGAGATGCTTGAGTTTGGGATTATCAGGCTCAGTGTGAGCCCCTTTCCTAGCATAGTGATATAGGCAAGGAATGGGTCAAAACAAGTTGAGTTGAAAATTTTGTAAGTTCTACTTGAATCAGCTAATTAATGAGCCTCTTCTTATGTTTCAAGCTCATAAATGCTTTCCTCTACTAGATATCAACTTATTAATGTCTAGTAGAGAGCATTTTTAGCTCATAAATTGAAGTTCATTCCCCTTTTTATTTGCCCTTTGGTTCCCGTGAATGTCTGTTGGGTTCCCGTGCCTTGGCTCCTTGGTTCCCACGATTGTCTCTTGGGTTCCCGTGCCTTGGCTTCTTGGTTCCCACGGTTGGCTCTTGGTTTCCTGCGGCTGGCTCTTGGATTTTCGTGCCTTGGCTCCTTGGTTCTTGCGGCTGCCTCTTTGGTTCCTGGCTGGGTTGTTTCCCGTGAATGTATGGCGGCTTTTCCGTGGCTTTGGTGCTTCGTTTCCTGGAATTCACTGTTGGCTTTTCATATTCCCTATTTAATTAGCTTTTAAATTAATGTTTTGTGGCTATTTGTATTCCACTCCCATGC